CCTACTTTTCTGACAAAAACAATGGGCGTTCTGAACATTTCGGCCGCAACTGCATGTATATATATATATATATATATATAAAACAAACAAACGTGTACATTATATATATATATATATATATATATATATATATATACACACACACAAAAAAAACGTGTGTGTGTATATATATATATATACAAAACAAACGTATATATATATATATATATATATATATATATATATATATATACAAAACAAACGTGTATATATATATTTATATATATATATATATATATATATAAAAACAAATGTGTACATATATATATTTATATATATATATACAAAACAAACGTGTACATATATATATATATATATATATATATATATATATAATTATACACAAAACAAACGTGTACACACACACACACACACACACACACACACACACACACATATATATATATATATATATATATATATATATATATATATATATATACAACTACACCTATAAAAATATGTAAAACTACTAGAATTGAATTTACTTCAAGGAGAGCAGAATTTTTGCTAAGGATGTGCTCAAAAGAGAAACTAATGCACCAATAATCAATAAGTTAATAAAAGTTCAATTGACTTTAGATTTTGACTAAATTTAAAGACTTTCATGGACACACATTTTATGATATTTTTTTTTCATTACTAGACATGAGATGTTCATGACTTTATTAAAAAAGAAAAAAAAGTCCAGAATAGACAGGTAAGGCAAAATAAAATAGTAGGTAGAAAAATTCAGTTAGAATTAATTTTTCAGAACAAAAAATGGTTAGAGAGGAGGTTGGAATAAATGGACCAGAAAATGACGGTTTGGAAAAAAGCAGGAAATATAATAAACAGAATGGGGGGGGGGGAAACGGTGGGTAGGGCAGAAGAAAATCAAAATTTAAATAGCCAGCCAAGCCTGTTCACTCTGATAAAGAAGAAAAATTAAAATATATAACCAAGAAGGAAAAACTTAAAAATAACTTAGAAGAAGCATTTTATAAAAATCTGGATTTATTTTAAAACAAATTTGACAAAAAGATTTTATGCACACACAAACACACACACACACACAAATATATAATAAAAATCAATAAAACCTATCAATATATATAGAATTACTTGAATTTAATATATTTCAAGGCAAACAATTTTTGTCAAGAAAGGGCTTAATAGTGAGCTAGTGCAGAATGGTGTGCCATGAAAACTTTGGTTGGTTGAAAAATAAGTCATTTGAACCTTTATTAATTGACTGATTTTATATATATATATATCTGTGTGTGTGTGTGAGTATGCGAGAGAATTACAATTAATGAGATCTAAACGATTTATCTTATACAGATGATCATTTCGTCCATGGAAATGTAGTTTTTCCCTTGACTTACCAAATACACTTACTAAAATGAATAAACTGTTTCATCGCAGGAAATTTGAAAGGCAAAAGAAGGAAAGAAAGATAAAAGAAAAAGGAAAGAATAAAAGGAGAGGGAGTAAGGATTGTCTTATACTAGAGGAGTGAGTTATATAGATATAGAGGAGTAAGGGACCTAAGGTGGTTGTGGTGGAGTCAGGTACAGATAAACGTGATGGTTGAAAATGGACACTGACATAAATGTAACCAATCAACACCAGTGCAAGGAAAAAGAATGAACAAAAAAAAAAAAAAATGGGCCATTAAACATTTTAGAGAGAAGATTAAAATAGAATGGGAGTAAGAATTTAAAATTAAAACTTTTATAAAAAGATGTTAATATTAATCCATTCAATAATACATATTTAAATATATAGTAAAAGTTACAGTAAAAAAATTTAAGTAAATTATTAATATACTAATTTCATTTAAATATAACCAATCTCATTATATCAATATAATATTAATAAATTTTCAAATACTAAGTTTATAATTTAAATTATATCATACTTATACTATTATTATTATTTAAAAATTCTGTAAAAGATTAAATTTAAATACAATATATAAAAAAATTTAGTATTATAAAAACAGTATAGAAGAAAAGTCCACATTTCAAAACAACTTCACATAGAGGGAAGATGTCACAACAGAAAAAAATTCACATATGAAAACATAAATGAAAGAAAGGAGCATGAGGTTCAGCTAAATACTATGTTAGTCAAAATTTGTATCTGTGGTGAACCTCGGAGTGTGGGGTTGAAATAATGTTATGAGAATTGGAATTTTTTCTTATGGTGACACTTGGATACCAATTCATTCCTTTTGTTTAGTAGAATATCTTGATTCTTAAGTTTAATGATTTTAATATTCTCCTCCAAACATAAATTACATCTACCATTAAAGCTATTTGGAGTCTGAGCAAAATCTATAAATTACCAGTCAATTTGAGGACTCAAGTCTTTCTCCCTCAATTCCCAAAATTATTGGGAGAGATTAGTTTGCTGTTTTAGTCTTGGGTTGGAAAAGAGTGTCTGTGGTTATTTCCATTTCCCTGAAGAAATCTCAATATAAACTTGGTGGTTTCATCTATTTTCTTTAGGGTAAATGGTGGGTTGATAAATAACATTAGGTGCTCTACATTTTCCCTTGACTGGCAAAGATTACTATTTCTACAATTACAGGTGGGAGTATTAAAATTCTTGTTGACACCATTGAATTTGTTAAGGATATACTACTTGTAGGAGACAATTACTCTAAACATATTGTTCATATATGAATAACTTATTTTAATGGTTTTTCTATTGAAGATCTTACCAAGAGGGTTGTTATTCTGAAAATGTTTGTTAATAAGTTTCAGGAAAATTTGTCCAATATTAATTCTAGATCATCTACAAAAAGCAGGGCTGAACCAAATAATATTATTTTTTCTATTCTTGTGTGGGTTACTACTCTTAAATTCCCTATGGTTATTTGTAGAGTTTAAGTAAGATAGTTTATGTGCAAAACCACTTTTCTGGGGGGGCATTTTCATACAGTGCTTTATTCTTATCAAATATATTCTTATTAGATGAAAGTTTATTGATTCTAGAACCAATGGTAATTGGTATCTGCTTCAAGATGGTATGGAGGTTAATGTTAATATAATTAGAAGTTTCATGTTCCTTGTGGTAAGGTTTAAATGTATTATTATTTAAGTGTGATGTCAAGGTAATCAACTACTTTTATATTGGAAGTGATCTCTATCATGAATCTCAAAGGCTTATATTCTTATTAGAATATTTTAAAATTTTTTTAAAAGCACAAAACCATGACACTTAGTTTTCATGACCTTGTTAAGGCTTCACATATAAGTGGACAATACAAGTCCAATTCCTTCAGAGCAAAACACCACCTGTTCTCTTGTACAATATAACTTGGTCAAGGTATGGTCACTGAAACCCAGAAAATGTTATTCAAAAAAAGTTGTATCATGCTAAATTAAGGTGATAGAAAATCAATATTTGCATGCAGTGTTCAAATTCACCAAACATCCTTTAATTCTCAGAGGGAACCATTTTTGCCCTCCATCTCTATGGCTGATGCTAACCTCCAAGAGAGCAACACTTTTGGCATTCTTGATCGCATGTTTTCTTCTAACACAACGTGGTGCAATTATATTGAATCATATGCTGGGAGGGGTCTGCTGATAAGAAAAATGGTTCACTGTGTCATGCTAGACAATTTTTAGCATCGGAATTCGTCTTGCACATTTATAAATCTAACATTTGTCCATGCATTGAATATTGTTGCCATATCTGATATAGTGCTCCTATGATATATCTTTTTGTGTGGATTACTACTCTTAAATTCCCTATAGTTATTTGTAGAGTTTAAGTAAGATAGTTTATGTGCAAAACCACTTTTCTGGAGGGCATTTTCATACAGTGCTTTATTCTTATTAGATGAAAGTTTATTGATTCTAGAACCAATGGTAATTGGTATCTGCTTCAAGATGATATGGAGGTTAATGTTAATATAATTAGAAGTTTCATGTTCCTTGTGGTAAGGTTTATATGTATTATTATTTAAGTGTGATGTCAAGGTAATCAACTACTTTTATATTGGAAGTGATCTCTATCATGAATCTCAAAGGCTTAAAAGCTTTAACAATATTTTTTTCTGTAATTTAACAGTAAGAGGACCATTATTATTAGTGGGGGGAGCATAAATAAGTTCATCATCTCTATACAGACCGACTAGTTCTGATTCAATAAATCTATCAATTATCTCCAAAATGTGAATACAGACAAGACCAGCTACTTTTGCCAAATCATATGCCCCCATTGGAACGTCAAAGTCGCTACTCCCACTTTTACCATCTTGACAAATTTTTCCTGAAAATTATAAACACTATATAAACTGATCCCTCACTTTGTAGCCACAGTAGTTTGTATACATTTATCTATCAGAAAATCTAAAATCTAAAAGGCATGTCTGTGTAGCTAAGCAGTATTTCTTTGATTTGTTCATTCATTTTTTATGGCTTATGAACTCTTTTCAGGTTATTTAAAGCCAGAAAATATTTTTAGATTGTAAGAATTTTTTTTGAGATGATAATACTGATACAAGTCTTACTAATTAACCCATCGCTGGGGGAGAAGAGATGGATTTATACATTTTCCAAGGGTATTTGCACATAAATGAATATAACAAACCCAATGGGAATTGGAAGTCAGCTCTCCGATTAACAATTATTATCTATTGCACCACCTGCACATCCACCCAGGTACTTGCTTAAGTTTTGTGATCATAAAGGAACCGCTATTTCAACATGATGTGGCCATGAGCCATCTGTCGGTAAAAGTCCACAAACCTTTCAAATTGGGGTTTCAGCAATATAGCTGACATGAAGAGATCTAAGTTCAGATCCTAGAACCTTACATATGATATGCACACATAAAATAATAAATTAACATTTTACAATAATGGAGTAAAATAATTCTAATCATAAAAGTTCTTCACTTAAAAAAATAATTATTTTTTATATACAAAAATCTCTCATTGTATTTCAAAAGAATCTACAAACCTTGTGATTGGTTGTAAGCTCTGAAATCAAAGCCTTCCAAGTTGCTTCTTCATAGTTGACACGATAAAAACCAAAACTTCTGTAGTTGGCTTTCACCCATGACGTTCCTTCAGGAACTGTAAATGTTGCTGGAAGATGAAAGACAAATTTTTTAAAAGAACATCCTCAATTCATTATAGATAGAAATAAAAATAAAAACAATTTTTTTAACTTAGAAACTTATGTCATATTCTTAAATAGCGCCATCAGATTGAGACATTTATATAGATGTCATGCATAGCGCCAAACTCATTCCATTTGAAGACTTTCAACAGCAGAAACAAATAAAATGGATATCATATGTAACTCAAAGAGAAATTGACATAATAAAGATGTTGATGTTTCACACTATTTCAAATAAATAGTTAGGAAGGAATTCCGTCAATACTGGAATATTACTGGAATAAAGAAACTTTTTCCTGAAAAATTGTTTTAATAGAAAGATTTTATAAATTTCAGATGATGGTAGTATGGACTACTCAATGAATGTTTCCTTATAAGGAAACAACTAATATTATCACCTATACCATATTAAAATGGGCATTAATAGGTAAGCAGTTATGAATTATATCAAACTAAAAGTTGACACAAGGTTATAATACTGGAACACTGAGAGAGGATCTTGGCTTACTAACAATGGATCCAATATAGATCAAATATGAAATGGAATCTGACAGAATGATAGGATGAAGATCAAATAGAAAATGCTTATCAATCTAACAGGTTTCAGTTTTATTAATCCGACAGAATGATAAGATGAAGATCAAATAGAAAATGCTTATCAATCTAACAGGTTTCAGTTTTATTAAAGCTTCATCAGAGAATGAGACATGGAGAAAAAGATAAGTTTGTTAACCATCTATCTGCAGTAAGCAGCTGTATTGTAAATTTGACTGTATGTTTGAAAAAAATCTTTTCTTAAAAAGAGAAAAAAAGTAAAAAGACAATTATTTAAAAGTGCTTTTAAAAGCACAAAACCACGACACTTAGTTTTCATGACCTTGTTAAGGCTTCACATATAAGTGGGCAATATAAGTCCAATTCCTTCAGAGCAAAACACCACCTGTTCTCTTGTACAATATAACTTGGTCAAGGTATGGTCACTGAAACCCAGAAAATGTTATTCAAAAAAAGTTGTATCATGCTAAATTAAGGTGATAGAAAATCAATATTTGCATGCAGTGTTCAAATTCACCAAACATCCTTTAATTCTCAGAGGGAACCATTTTTGCCCTCCATCTCTATGGCTGATGCTAACCTCCAAGAGAGCATTTTTGGCATTCTTGATCTCATGTTTTCTTCTAACACAACGTGGTGCAATTATATTGAATCATATGCTGGGAGGGGTCTGCTGATAAGAAAAATGGTTCACTGTGTCATGCTAGACAATTTTTAGCATCGGAATTCGTCTTGCACATTTATAAATCTAACATTTGTCCATGCATTGAATATTGTTGCCATATCTGATATAGTGCTCCTATGATATATCTTGAGATTCTCTACAAAATCCAAATAAGTGTCTGTAATGCTATTCATTCTGACCTTGCATCTTTCCCACTGTCTTTTCTATAAATATTTTCATGGCAATTATTCAAATGAGCTCTCCTCCTTGTTACCTGGAGCACACAAATTTAAACATGCTTCTAGATTGACAACTTGATCTCTTCATTTTATTGTCAAAATAACTAGATGTAACTGTAAGTTCTATTCTAATAGTTTTTTCTCGCACTTCTCACCTGTGGAACTCTTTTCTAGTTTCTTGCTTACTTGTCACATACAATCTACAAAAATTTAAATGCAATGTCAATCAGCATCTTCTGTCTTCCTAAATTGTGTTCTTTTGTCTTTTCTCCTCACTAAAGTTTTCTCATTTTCTTTCACTCTCAGTAACCACATGCATCTTAGTTGCATTATCACCTTCCTAGGGAGAGAATATTTAAAAAAAAATTACTAACATTTGTAACATGCAATTTTTTGTCTCACTGCATTTACACAAATACTAATGTACATACACATAAACTTATACAGTATCCTGCACATTTGAAAAATGAGTATTGAAAAATGTTCATTTTGAAATTCTTAATAACATAAAAAAGGCTACTTTGACATGATTGAATTCTCAGAAGCCTCATTTCTGTGATTGTATAAAAGGCTGGTATTATCATTTATATGTAAGAGCCTTGATTATGCTGAAGCTTATGTTTGCTTTTGATTTCATTTTTCCACATACATTTCAACTGTCCTTTATACATGTGTGGATCTCACTTTCTCTCTTTATGTAAAAAAATGTCATTTCAATTACTATTGGTTCTAACCAGTGATTTTGACTTCAGTCACTTTTCCACTATTGTGACATAGTGTCCCTCTGTCTTTTCTATAAATATTTTCATGGCAATTGTTTTAATGTGCTTTCCTCCTTGGTACTTTGAGCACATGAATTTAAGCATGCTCCTAGATTGGTAACTTAGTCTCATCGTTTTATTGTCAAAATAACTAGATGTAACTGTAAGTTCTATTCTAATAGGTTTTTCTCGCACTTCTCACCTGTGGAATGCTCTTCCAGTTTAACTCTCTATCATCCACTTCATGATACCTGTTCTGTTATTGTTGTTTCTCTTCACTAAAGTTTTCTCATTTTCTTCCATTGTCAGTTAACCATTATCACCTTGATTGGGGTGAAATGATTATATATATATGTATATGTATATATACAAGGTTTGATCAAAAAATATTGAAACTGTTGCTATGGTAATACAGCTAAAGTACAGAGTGAAGTCACTTGTAACAGATTGATCTTGAACTCTCTCGCACATACACACTAACTTATAATGTTCTTGATCATGTCACTTGTCTATAGCAGTGTTTGGAAGGAAAGTGTGTAGAGTGTGGTCATCCCACCATCCCACAGAGATTCTATTAGTGGCCATGGCTTATAGAGCAATTTTTGACCAAACACATTTTGCAGGGTCAACACCCAACATATGCCTCAGATCTCACCCCTGCGACTATTTTCTTTTTATATTCCACTTGAAAGAAACAAAATTTCAAGATGTTGAAGAAACCCAAGAGAATGCAATGAGGCAGCTGCTCACTTTTCCAAAAAAGGAGTTCCAGGAATGTTTTCATCAATGGAAACAACACTGGATAAAGTGTGTTGCTTCAGAGGAGGACTACTTTGAAGGAGATTAAATGTCGAGTTGATATGTATTGTAGTTTTCTTTTTATAGCACCAATCCCAATACTTTTTAATCAACCATTGTATATATATATATATATATATATATATAAATAACCTAATAAGTAAATACAAGTAGATGTATGAGCGAGTGATTGCATGCAAATGCATATGAATGCTCTATAGTGTAAGAAAAAACAGTGCTCAATGTTAAATAACAGAGCTATTTAATATATATTTAGAAATATACATAATACCTTACACTGATTGTACAACTTGGTTGGTTTTTTTTTTTGTTTTATGGCATATCAACCTCAGTGGGTCATTTAATGACAACAAAATTTTGAAATAGATTCATAGTGATAGTTTGGTAAAAAAAGTTATGTATGTATACATATATATTTGAACCATTTTTCAATTACTCATATATTTGAGTACGATCCAACTTCTTTTAGGAAATTTACAATCTTGGATGATTTTATTTTCGTAAAAAGTTTTTTTAAATTACTAACTTGGTAATATTTTGTCCGCATTATATAAAAATCTACAAACTCTAACAGTGTATGATTCACTGTAAATTTCTCTTGGCATGTAGTGGATATTGGGGATTCTGTGGTCTGTACCACTTAGAGTTTCATGCCAATACAATTTTCAAGTGCTGGTATATATATATATATATATATATATATGTAAATGGTATGGCAGTAGACATCAATGCTGTATGATGACTAGCAGTTTCACATGTTAAATAATTATACAGTCACTTAAGGTATGACACTTTCAGCTTCATACTGTGTTTATTGCTATATCCAAATTGTTTGTAGATATAAATAATCTACCTGTATACTGAGCACTCTTACGTCCTAAATATAACAAATTTACTATATATATATATATATATATATATATATATATAGTAAAAGTAACAAATCCATTGGTACACAATCCACGTGGATCCCAGCAACATAAAAACATTAAAATTGATCCACAAAAAGAGCTCAGTGTATTCATTATTACAGAGCCAAATCGCCTCATATGGGGAATAGCGTATTTCGGCAGAAAATGATATTAGTCGTCTGTCTTATCAACCCATTGTGGTCAGGGGAGGGTGGAAGGTATTTATCATAAAGGGAAGAAATTTTATAAAATTAAACCCAAATATCAACTTTATGACATTAATTTGGGGTTCTATGAAGAATGAAATATTAATTTAAAATTAAAAGAGGAATAAAAAGGAGTTTAAAAATAACTTTAAAAATATACTGTAATGGATTAATGGAAAGAGAATTGGGAAGATCTTAGAGTAGGGGAAATTTATAAATTATAAAATAATATAGTGTAAAGAGGTTATAGAATATAGAAATTTGAATTAGTTATACTTTCAACATTTATAGAGTTAGAAGGGGAGGAACATTATGGAAATATAGTAGGTAATTAAGTTAATATATATATATATATATATATATATATATATATATATAAGTTATTATAAGTTAAAATTAAGATTTATTTATATATATATATATATATATATATATATATATAATATGTGAAAATATATAGAAATATATATGTCACGAGTTGGAATCATATTTTTAAATAAATAATTATATATATATATAATCAGTGTACTTTACTGTATATTATAAAAGTCCTTTGTGCCATCATTGTTGTAATTTCAAGATGAGAAAGAAAAAGAAAATATTCAACTTTATCCAGAGACACCAAACAGCAACATGCACCTGTTGAGAACTAAGCAATATCTTGTTTAAAATGAAGATGACAACAACAGTTCAAAAATGTGTGGAATAATGAAAAAGTTTTATTGCAGAAATTTAAACACTTTGATGTATATGCCAAAAATATTCTTATTTTAATCAAGATTTATATGTTCAGATTTATAAATCAACAATG